AATGCTTTCATTCAAAGGTAGTGAAAGACTTCTGACCTCTGTGACCCCACAGAAACAGCCATTTTATTAGCTGGGTGGCAATGCTGAGGGACAGCATACTATCTGATTTGCATGTAACGTGGGTAACGCAGATCGTATTTCTCTAGACGCATTCTAACTCTAGGTGTGAACAGTCGTACTTAAAGCTGACCATTTGTGACCGAATCAGCTGGAACGCGAGTCGGGTCTAAACAGGGTCAAAGTTTACTTGTTTCAGTACAGATACTCGGTCATCAGATAAAAATTAAGGCTACACCCAAATATAAAATGGTATAATTTGATTCCACATTAATTTATAGTTACTGTATAGTGACATAATCACTAACAATCAACAACCTTTTTGCTGCTTATTCCAAACCACTCCACAATACCTTGTTTTTTTGCCTTTTTGTTATCCAGGCCTAAGTAGCTTGCACTCGCACACATTGATTGAAAAGCTTCTGATGTATAATTGATGAGCTGCAAGTCAAGTGCTTACTGAGACAAGTTCCCGGACCTGCATTTGACCAGTTATTTAGGGGCCAGAGGGTGATGGCTTTGCTAAACTTTCATACACGACTGCAAAATCCAAGATTTCTGACATCAGCCACTTTTGCTCCAGTAATGCTTTTCTGAAGTTCTTCCATCAAATTAATCCTTCTCTCAATATGTGTAATCATTAACAAGTCCACAGTATTGCTTTAATAGGTGTCCTTGAGCTCTGTCTAATAGTAAAGATATACTTTGTTGACAAATCAATTGTTCAGCTATTAACTTGCACCAAATGTATCATTAGACTGTACTTATGATTACACCGTTGTGTACCTCTCTGTGTTCATGCATATTAAATGTTTGTCTCTTGTTTTTGTTTTTTATTGCCACAAATTTAACACACAAAGATGTAAACACACTCAATATCAGTAAGATATGTATGTTTGTGTATGTAAGCTAAAGAGGAAACCTTCTATTTCCGTAGTAAGGGGGTAATCTGTTGCCAGAGGAGGGGTCACAGGTTAAAGTTCAGAGACTAAGAGGTCACACAGTTGCACCATATGGCTTGCAGAACCTCAAAATATCTGGTGCCTTCTTCAGTATACAACACCCACTCTGCAGAGCTACATGTAAAATGTTTTTATGTAATAAGATTCATTTGAAAATGTGTAAATGAATAGACAGTTTGTTGTTTTTGTTGTTTCGTTTACCCTTTCTGGTAAAAATGTTGGTCATTCACTCAGGTTGGACATGGTCTAGTCAGTTTATCAGTATGGTTTGTAACTTCATGGTCATAAGTTTAAACCGTTCATAATTGTCTCCTTTGAGTAACGAGCTTCCGTATTCACTTCATGTACAAAATGCATCAACATGTACGGACAGTGTAGACTCGTATGTAACGCATATCACATGGAGGAACCCTGTCAAAGGTTATTTGTAGGTGTGGATTCATTTCAGCCAAATGAAAACAGCTGCAGACAGAAGCCATCTCTACTGAAATAGTCAGCCAAGTCTTAAAAAAAATGAAGTGTAAAATGACAGATTATATTTCCTGTAGTACAAGAGGGGATTCTGACTGTCAGTCACTTTATCTTCACAGTCAAGATATTATCCAGCTTAAGTTGGATGGCTTTTATTTACGTTAAAGCCATAGTTTAGGTAATTGTCATTCATATACCTTATCCTGCCATACCATACTATACCACACCTCTTTTTTTATAAAGCACTTAAAAACAGCAACAAGGCCAACCAAAGTGCTGTACAGTAGATCACACAAAGGTAAAGATGAGAACTAAATGACTTGCATTATAGAATACAGACAAGTGAAAATCAGCTCGCACAGTGTCAAAAGCCAGGGAATAAAAGTGAGTTTTTAAACGTGGTTCAACAAAAGTGAGGGAGGGAGCCTGTCTGACACGCAGTGGTAACTCATTCCACAGTTTTGGACCTGCAACAGAGAAGTCCATGTCACCTCTGAGCTTAAAATGAGTGCCTGAAACCAATAAAAGCATCTGGTCTGCTGACCTCAGAGAGCACAGCGAGACATATGGCTGCAGCAGATCAGTGAAATATAAGAATTAGAGGCCTAGTATTCTTTGGCGTAATGCATATCGCCTACCACTTTTCATAACTAAGTTCTAACGTAAGACCCCATCTTGAAAAATAATGTACTTTAGGCTTTTAAGTCAAATTTAGAAAATAACACTCTGTGCAAATCACCCAACATTGCAAGATTTCTGGCTGTTAGCTCTTGTAGTATTTATAAATAGAAACAATATCGCCCACTATTTGCAGGAACTCCTGAAGGTGTTTGAGAAATGTAAAGGACTTTGTTTCACCATCTGTTAGTGACTTGAAAGAAATAAGTGCTATAATGTAAACCACCCCCACAGGCTTGCTTTGAATTTGCTCTAACAGAGGTTATGAATTGAAAAAGGAAAGTTTGTGTGGAGGCCAACGTCACAAGTTTCTTATCAAAGTGACATTCTGGTTGTGATGGGGGGGGGGGGGGGGTCGAGGCTCTGTCCTGCATGCTAATGTGCTCAGATGGGTTCTGTGATTAAAAATTACTCAACAAATGCATCAACAGCCAGCTTGCTATTCATGTTTAACCATTTCTATCACACTAGTCTGCTAAAATAAATCATTAACATTAGTTTTTATGAAAATCTCAGTTTTTCTTTTTATATTCTCCACAAATCCATTTTTTTAAGACACTGAGTTTTTTTCTGCTTTCTCCATCTGCCTGCTGCAGGGTGGAGTTTTCCCTCCGCTCTTTAGCTTGGACAGAGCTTGTTAAGTGACCGTTTCTGGATGAAGTACCTCTTTCCATTACATGGGTGTTTTCAGCAGCAGACGGCCAACAGACCAGCATCTATGTGCATGAAGGAAGTCTGTTTCACTGAATTTTAGGGGACAATGTTTTTCAATTTAAAATGAACAAGTGTTATTGGAAATTGTCTTTCGTTTAGTTTTTGCCATAAGAAGTTATATTTTAAGTACAAAAAAAGGTGTGTAAAAAAAATCTGACAAACCCCCTTAGCCCCCTCCTTCATGTCCCATCACCCGAGTTGTTGTCGCAGACCTCCCACACATAAAACGGGCAGACTTTAGACTAGTTTGAACCTCAGAGCAGCTCCGACAGCAAGTTATTCAGGAGAGGGAGGAGGAAGAAGAGCATTCAAAATCAGCTGCTCAGCTCCTGCTACATGTCGCACTGTGTGGGGGGGCTCCTCTGGAGAGCTTGTCTCACATTAGTTTGGGACTGTGCACACAGGTAGGGGGGCAGTTTCCTGCTGTGAACATAGAACTTGTTGACGTGTTGTTGATTAGTCGGTGAGGAGGCAATCATCTGGACTGTGACTAATCGTCCTGAGGATGTATGTGTGTGCGGTTATGTGTGTTTGTGTTTGGTGGGGTGTGGGGGTCACTGTGGCTTCAGGGCAGGTGATAAAAAAGGTGCTGAAATTAGAGAGTCCAGAGAGCTCTTCTTTCACGACTAATGTCTATGTTTATCTTCATGACTGCTGCATTAAAAGTGTGTGCATGCTCATGTCAAGGGGATGCATGGCACAGCTTGATCCTCACTTGAGACCTGAGTGATTTCATGTGTTACATAGATAAATAATGACTTGATCTGAAACTAGCACTAACAAGTCGGTGAGACAGTGACTTCAGCTAAAAATTCACTGTAATGACGAACATGTGGCACGTTTGTCTTTTAATTCATCTCTACCATCTCAAATGAAATGCAGTGGATCTGTCATGTGTACATGGAGAACACTGTTGAAAACAAAAGGGACAATAAAGTATAGCATCATGGTGAATTTTAGCATACGCATTCTTTCAGATTTGTTTCTACTGGCAGTCTATCATTGCACGGTCTCCCTGGCGCCTCGCCTTGGGTTAACTAAGGAGACTTTGCAGTGCCCAGCTTGTGTACGCCCACCAAGCTTCATTACAGAGACCAGTATTCACTCAAACCGAGATGGAGATATCTGTAAGTTACAGAAACACAGGCAGTGTCTTTGTGCAGCTCTTCTACCAGCTGTAGAATCAAATCTGGTTATACATTCATGCTTTGTCGTTAGGAGGTTTCATGGAAACATTTTTTGGATGGGAAGATTGTCGGGTCAGGTATTGTTTTATTTTTTCATAATATGAATAAGAGCTTTTTCTGAATGTAGTACCAGATGAAGGGCAGCTGGGATTTACCTCGTGGTAAGGACAACAGCCTTTGGTCAAAGAAAACACTTGACTGTGCCTTAGTGCATCTTGTTTATAGATTGAAGAGAGAAAAGGGGTATGAAAGCTTGAGTTGTGTATAGGAGAGTATTTCAACTTTCCCACGTGGTGTGTTTTCATTTTTACTTTGGATTTCATCTGGTAGGAACAGCCTCCTGGCCTTTCTCAGTCAGTGGAGGCAAAGTTTCCCATGATGACTTAATCTTGCTGATCATGCTACCCTTCTCTGTTTTCATAAGATTCATTGCGACTGTAAGAATCTACAACGTATCGTCATGTTTACACTAATAATCTTTTACACAAGCTTTTCCTCCCATTAATAAATGAAGAATACCATCTAAAAATCAACAAAATCATCTTATAGAAGTCAAGTATTTCTCAGATTACGCAAACCTTTGCAGTTTTCTCAGGGAAGACCTCTCTCATCATTGTTTCCACAGTATGAGGCTTACTGAGTGAGTGTTCATTTCCTGAAGCTGGTACAAAAGGTGGACATGAGGGAATGTTTTATTTAACAGCCGCTGCTCTGGTTTTGCCCACACTATTGGCCAATACCTTTACTTCATAGCGGTGCACACTTTCCTTCTTAGTCTTGATGAATATTTAAATATCTATAAAACTGTGGAATTATTTCTGTAGTTGATCACCAAGGCTCTAAAATTGTGTGCAATTAAAAATAAATGCTTTGGAGAATTGAGACTTTGATTAGACTTCTAAAAATACTTTATTTTTATTTATTTTTTTAGAAGTCAACCATACCGAAGGACCCCTTGACGGAAGCCTATATGCAAAAGTTCGCAAAAAGGAGTCTGTTGAAGATACAGTCACGTCTAATGGCCTTCCACCCACTGCTGCTGAACACGCACTACCTGCCGTTGACCATGCCCTGTCGGTGAGTAGTGATTCAGGAAACTCCACTGCCTCCATCAAAACGGACCGAACAGATGAAGCAACAGCAGTCCCTCCGACCTCCACAGTGAACCAGACCCACAATACTGTGAAGGAGGAGTTACCATCAGTCCATCACCAAGCCGCACCTGTCCAACAGCCAATCAGTCCCAAAGAGAAAAAGGAACTAGAGCAACTACTGAGTGGATTGGAGGGGCCCATGCACCGACAGGCCTACCTGTCCACCCCAACATCTGCGGCTGGGATGCTTCATTTGGTGCCAGCCCAGGTCCATGTTAATGGACACAATGACATGGATCGTGAAACTGACATTTTGGATGACGAGCTGCCTACCAGTCAAGAGGGCAACAGCGTGGACAGCCTTGGGACATTTTCCTCCACAGATGGTCGAGCTACACCGGCTGATCTCTACTACCAGTCTGAATCACTAACCAATGGCCAGGAGCATGTACCGTATTTAGAGCGCAGCGTCCCGGACAACCCTCTGGAATCTATCCATTCACAGGTTAGCAGATCTGATAAACCTTTCTGTCTGACCAAAAGTGATTCTGCCCCATTCTCCAGTAATTACATGGCAACCCAAAATGGCATCCTGTATCGCTCCCAGTCTTTTGGTGCTGAGCCAAAGTCTATGCCACAGGCTCCCACCCGCACCACCAGCAGCAGAGATGCCGTCCAACGCGGTCTCAATGTTTGGCAGAAGTTTGGAGTACCTGAGGAACCGGTCACTGAAGGCATCACTTTCAGTCCACCTCCATCTGTATCGATGTCCAGCCACCACAGTCTACCACAGTTCCCACATCGTCACAGTGCTTCCCAGCAAGAGATTGAGCAATCTATTGAAACTCTCAATCTACTCATGATGGACCTACAGCCCAGCCATCCAGTTGTGTCAAAAACTCAAAGTGCCCCACTGAGAGAAGACAGTATTGTAGTTACCACCCAGCCATCCTTCTCCCAGAGCCAAACCAGGCCGTCCTACCACACTGATGCTGCTCACATTTCTGGTCCTGTGTCCAGCATGACCAACCTCCCGTCGTCAACTCAGATGTTAATAGACAAGCCTGCTTCACCAGAGCCTTCACCGGTCTACGGAACTCCAAACTACTCTGTTGGAACATCTAGAACCAGTGGTTCTTCTCAACCTTCCCCCTCTGTAAGTGGTCAACTTCAGCTCAAATCAGTCGGCATGTTCCCACCAAGCACCATGCCCCAGTCTTCAGAGGTCTTCGAGTCCCAAAGAAATGCTGCTTCAGCATCACCTCAGCCAAGAGACGGGGACGAAGTCTTCAATGTGGAGGGTCTGGTGGCCCAAAGAGTTGCAGGTAAGGTTAACTTGTTTTATTTTAGTTTACCTATTTGATCATCCCAAATCACAAAAAAAGTCTCCTTAGAAAAAACAAGCCCAGTAAAAATCTAAATATTTACAGTATATTTCAAGTAAATAATCATTCAGTATACATTAGTATTAGATATATATATTATTATTAGTATTATTATTGTTATTAGTAGTAGTTGGTAAGTAGTAGTATTAAGTAGCAGTAGTGAGTAAGTAGTATTAGTAGTAAGTAAGTAGTAGTAGTAAGTAGTAGTTAATAAGTAGTAGTTAGTAAGTAGTAGTAGTAGTAGTAGTAAGTCAGTAAGTAGTAGTAAGTGGTAGTAGTATCATCATTCAGTTAATATTCATTCAGTTAATATTCATTCAGTTCATATTCAGTCCAAAACAGTGACATTCAAATCACAAAACATTTTAATTCAAGCCACTTCAGAAGTGAATATGGTGTTGGTCCAGTAATATTCCGCAATTAATAATGTTAATATCTATCAATTTAGTAAATGGTTAGTTTTCATAAACAATTGGGTTGTAAAAATAAATATTTTTTTCAAAAATTGTAAATGGCTAAGGAAGCTAATCACTTCAAGTCAGTCTGTCTTTAGCCAACCTTAATTTGTTAATTTATTCTATTTTATCAGCAGTTTACATTCTCCAACATAAAATAAAAGGCTTCAAATGCTGTGGTTCAGTTCATTTGTGTGGAAAACCGGGAAGTCTTTAGCACAACTGTCTGTTAAGGGCGTTGATTTTAAATTTTACAAATCCACTTTGCTACAGAATAATGTTATTTTCCCATTTACGATCAGCTTGAGCAGGATGTTTACTGGTTTACATCTGTTTTCCGTTGCACATGCACATTTAACCCACCAACGCAGGAACCAGAACACTGCACTATGTCCAAATATTCAGTGTCTAATTTGGGTCTAGTTGGTACATGCACATGAGGATTGCACAGTTGATTTATTGTGATAAGTGAACAGAAATGTTTGATTTAGACTCGACTGTGCTAAAGCGTTTTTCTTCTTAGCAAACAGCAGATAATTTTGAAACCATAAACTTTTAAGAGTTGACTAATTTTACTTATAATTTGGCTGATAATAAATCTTTTCGCCTGTTTGTTTTTTTTAACTACAGCACAAAGTGTGATATTAGCCGTATCCTGTAATAAAAACAAATCTGTCTTGGAAAACACTGCTGTGCTCTTATCTCAGTTCCTGGCTGTCACCCCATCAGTCCCCGTCAGTCAGGCTCAAACAGGAAGAGTTCTCTCCAGTCCAGCAGGTTGACAGGCCTAAGATAAGAACATCAGACATCCTGCAGAGCAGTTAGCCGTGGGACAGAGTCAACATGAAGCAGAGCTGAGCTCTCGAATAACAAACACCAAAATCAGAACTACGCTTCGTTTTGCTTTATCGACGTTTTAATGTAAAGCAATTGTTGACACTTGAAAGCCATGAACCACTATGGTTGTTCGTTTTTCCAAAAGTATTGTGGCGCCTGTAAGGTCAAAGCTGTTTATTTCATTTTTTTTAATGTAGCTTTAGTTTTGTGTCTCAGCACAATTTGATACGAAGAGAAAATGTCTGTTTTCTTATCAGACAACTAACCTGGACTTTTCTCCTCGTCTTCCTTTTAGTTTTGTCATAATCTCCATCCTTTCTTTCATCATTCATCTGTTTACCCAGAGTACTCGGCTCGTGCCAAAAACATCATCCCCAGCGTAACCTGCTCTCAGTCTGAGCACCGCCGCTCTCACTCCCTCTCTGGTTGGTTCTCTCATCCCGTTTAAAGAAGAGAGAAGTTCCTTCTTTTTTGCCCCAAAGTGTTTCTCTGACCCCAGTTCAAATCTGTTTCTGTTTTGATTTTTTTGTTTTTTTTGGTGTGGGTTTGCATCTTTTTTTTTTTTTGTCTCATTTCACACTGAAAACATTTTCAGTCTACTAACAGCTCATTTCTCTCTCGATGCATGCTTTTCTGTCTGTCTTGAGTTACCTTTCTGAAGGTAAAGAAGTAGCCTTCAGAAATCAAGCGCACACAGAAAAGAACACTTGGATGAAGTTAATGTTTCACAGGAGCAGGACAGAGGAAGCACAAAGGAGGCACTGTCCCCTGCCAGGAGAAAACATGTCACATGATCCGTTCTGCCAAACTCAGGGAACAATACTGAGGCCAGGATACACTGGCCTCATTCAGAGTCACTTTTTAATCACTTTTAAACCACTTTCTTGATTTACAAAGGCTGACAAAATATCTAATGTAAAGAGGAGACTGCAGTCCTTATTGAACCATGAAAGAAGCTGGATTTGTCCTCTGAGAACAACGGACCTCCATCCAGACGGGATTGTTCTGGACTCTGTCTCAGACAGTAAAATCCTTCAGAGTGAGGCAACATTTCAGGAAAGTTAAACACAAGGCTGAACAGGTGGAATTAATAAGATCTGCAACACTTAAAAGATGAATGTTGTGTTGAAACACCAGTAAAGACTTTATAATGGTGTGGTTGACGCTGATCACTGATCCGTTTTCAGTATTAGTGATAACACTTTACATCACATTTATGCAATATGGTTGTTATAGTCTGTGTTTTTCATTTAGTTCCTTAGCCCTATTTTCTTTTTGTGGTTTGTGTTTACAGTAGTCCCTCGTTTATCGCGGGGGATCCATACCCGGAAGCGAAAAACCGTGAAATAAGAATAGTAGTACAAGTATTAAGTAGTAGTTTATTTTAGTATTAACACACACACACACACACACACACACACACACATATATATATCTATTTACAGTAGTCCCTCGTTTATCGCGGGGGATCCAT